TGTTCATGGTGGAGTGTTTTATGTACAGATACATAAACATTTTGCCCTGGACTCTTGGTTGAACCAGAGTTCTGAATGGTCTTTTTGGCAATTGGGAACCTTTTTTCTCTAAGGCCTCAATTTCAAAAGTCGTTGTATAGCTTTGTTTGGTGGGCAACAAATTCTGCGAGAGCAGCAAAGGGAGGGTTTCTGTCTAGATTATTTGCCCTGTAAACATCAGATAGTTTGAGCCATTCTTCAATTAACTGTCCTGGTAGCTTTCGAATGATAGGCTTCTGCATGTTGTAGTGGTCAAGACATGTCAGTCCCTTCAGGATGGGATCCTGTTGAGCTACCCGTAGTTGCTTAAGGAGGATAGAGAATATTCATAACTGGTCAGGGTGATGTAGACTGATGTCAGGGAAATCACTGACCTGGTCCAAGAGTATGGCCTCTATGAACGTAGGTGCACCATACCATTGATCAAGTTCTTCCCAAGCTACTTTAAGGGCGCTGACTGGATCATCTAAATAAATGGAGTAGATTTGTATTACTAATTGTGCAGAATTTGGTCCTAGCCAAGCTTTCATATGTATGATCTCCTCCTGAGGCTCCAACCCTTTGACATGGACGATATGTGAGAAGGTACGGTTCCATTCCAAATAATCTTTGCCTGGCCTGTCAGAGAACTTCTGTGGCCTGCTAGTTGCCAAGTCCACCTTCCACCACCAAGGTTGCCATTCTGCACCGGTGTCGTATGCAGGGGGAGATGGGAAGGTGTACCCCATGGATTTGGTGGGATCAGGACCAATGGCTTCCCGTTGGCTCCGACAAGTAAAGCATGTAAGAGTAGGGGTGGCTGGAGAAGATTCCATGACTTAGGGTAAGTACAGGAAATTTCCTGAATGTATTGTGAATGTTCAGTGAAATTTGCACTTTTGGTCACTAGGGTGCGTTGCAAGCTTTGAAAGATGTGGGCGTGCTCCACTTCTTGGCTACTAGGGTGTGTTGCAAGCTTTGGGAGATGCAGGTGCAGTTCACCTTTTGGTCGCTAGGGTGCACTGCATGTGTTTGGCTTGAAATACTGGTTTCAAGTTTGTAGAGGAGCCACCAGAGGGTGCTGTTTGTGACTAATGTTTGGAGTAACTGGCAAGGGCGGGCTTTTTTTTGTTTTTGTTTTTAATGAGGATTGCAAGCCAGCCTTCCCATACTGAATTCCCTTGATTGGGATTTCAACTTGGACTGTGGATACTCTGTAAACCTCCAAAGGATTTTGCGTCGCCAGTTTAGCAAACGAAAATCAAGACAACATTGGACTGGGGGCTCTGTTTTATATTGTTAACTTTGAAGGTGTTGCCTGTAAGGAATTCAGATGCAAAAAGCTTCCTATAGGAGCTGGCTTTAACATGCAGATTGAGATGGCTAGGTTGTAGGAGCTGTTTTTATCATGCAAATTAAGTTTCCATAGAAACCTTTCCATGAGGCTTTTACAATCAGTTAAGCAGTAAGGCTTTCGCTTATTTGGGCAAAAAGAGGAAATTAATCCTCCACTTTGATTTACTGAATCTGTTCTTTGCACAGAGAGGCTTTACACTCCTCACACAAAAACAGTCTTTCTTTAGCAAGGAGAAGTTTAGTTTTCTTCTTACTCAAACGAAGTTTGGTTGCAAAAATACCATTTTTTCACTGTTCTGGTCCAAGTGGATCGCTCTTCTCAGACAGTTAAACTTTGCGCAAAGGTTCAAGCAGATCAGATTTATTATCAGGCATTCTCAAATCAGTCACTTAGAGTCAGAAGAGATTCTTTCGAATTGATCTTAATTTGTCCTATTTATGTAATATAGTGAAGAAAAAAACACGGTAGAATTACTACCATGGTGAGAAAAGCACGTTGCACTATGCCCGGGGTTTGAGCTGCACTATCTAGTAAGCTCCCAGTAGCCAATCAAAAACACAGGTGTGATCACGTGACACAAAACCACATTTCCCAGAAGGCAAGACTATTACCGGAGAGGCAGTCCCTTAAAGAAACAGTATTTAATTCCTAGACTAATACCCCTTAAACAGCACAAGCTATATTCAGTTATGACAGCCAATACTTACGTTCTTTTGTTTATAACAGTCTGTTTTTCCAGGTACACATCTTTCCAATTCATATTAAAATAATATAATTGTTCAATAAAAAAAAACTTTAAAAAAAATCAATTGTTTCTATGGGACAAATAGCCCTAAGGGAAGAAGGAAGGATGTGAATTTGAACAGGCTCTGAGATGGACTTCAACTGCCTTCCCCAGTTTTCTTCTATATTAGCCAATGATACTCTCCCATGACTAATTCATATTTAAAGCCATCTGAACTAAGGGATTAACACACCTCAGCTTGTACTGTAGTCATCTTCTTCTTCCTAGCGTATTCCCACTAGTGCAGGGTTAGCTTGTACTATAGCAATGAACTCCATAAGTCTATAGCTTATCATGTGAAGTCTTTTCTTTTCCTGAATCGCCTTTCAAATTTGTTAAGATAAAGGTACAGATTCCCCTTGCACATATGTGCTAGTTGTTTCCAACTCTAGGGAGCAGTGCTCATCTCCATTTCAAAGCCAAAGAGCCAGTGCTGTCCGAAGATCATGTGGTCATGTGGTCAGCATGACTAAACACCGAAGGCACACAGAATGCTGTTACCTTCCCACCAAAGGTGGTTCCTATTTTTCTACTCACATTTTTACATGCTTTCGAATTGCTAGGTTGGCAGAAGCTGGGACAAGTAACGGGAACTCACTCCGCTACCAGGAGTTGGGATTCAAACCCCTGAACTGCCGACCTTTCTGATCAACAAGTTCAGTGTCTTAGCCATTATTGGATGAATCCAAATTCTTAATTTTAAGCAGAAAGGAACATTTCATACTCCCGTTTTCTACTCCTAAAACTAAAAATAAGAACCAAGTTTTGTGAACATTCTATGTTCAAGATTTTTCTCTTTCATTTATTTATTTATTTGCTCTTTTCTGTACTCTTTCCCCAGTCCTTCAGTGATGGACAAAAGCACACAGTCTTCACTTTCCCCTGGAATAAATACCCTGTGCACACCAACTACAACATAGTTTGTTGATCCAAAACAGATAAGAGGGGGCTTACAAAACACATTTTGCACGGGCTGTAGTTTTCCAGAGGGATCTTCTTGCAACCATATGGCAAACTATCACAAACTAGCAAGGATGAGTCTTTAGAGGCGAGGTGGTGCAGTGGTTAAATGCAGCACTGCAGGCTACTTCAGCTAACTGCAGTTCTGCGGTTC